CATTCATTTTTTCTTTGCTTGTCTTCTTATCCAATTTTTTTTTTTTGTCTAAATTATACATTCTCTTTAGTTTTAATAAATTTAATTATAACTTTAATAAGATAAATTAATAATTAAAAACTTAAGATTCTAAATTAGAAATTCAAATATGGAATAAAGCGAGAAGAGATTTAAGAAAAGAGATCAAAATGTTATTTTTTTTAATATAATTTATTCGGTTATATTAAAAAAAATTAATTTAATTATTTATTATTTTTAAAATATTATTTATATGTTTATTTTTATTTTTAAAAAATAATTATAATATATATTAAGCAAAAAATTTTATTTAAGTTCATTAAAACTTAAGGTTAATATAAAATTTTAATAATAAATTATTATATATTTATTTTATTTTAAATTTATTAAAAATTAACAAAAAGAGAGTAGACAGTAAAATAAAAATAACTAGATGATTAATGCATTTACTTATTTCTTATTTAACTGTTATTATTGTATAAGAAGTACAATATAAACTTTATAATAATTTTTTGTTTACTTATTACTCTTTATTTGCTTCTAACATTTTTCTTTTTCAGTACTTAAAATTAATTTTGTTGGCAGTGACGCGTACTGAGGACAATTATAAAAGAGGGAATATTAAAAAGAAGTTTGGTACCAAATCTTATGAGTTATTTAATAGATGTACTTTTATATCTTAATGATACTTAGATTTTGGAAATTGAGGACTGCTATGTTACAAATTTTTACTTTTTATTTTTAAATTGTACTTATTTAAAAATAAATAAATAAAGGAGGAGTTTGAGTGTCGGCTTCTCCATCACTCGTTTAACATGCAACAAGAGAGTACATATCTTTGCAAGGAATTCACACGTAATGCAAACGTTTCATTACCTTCATCCCATCCCCCTTTTTATTTTAACAAAAGAAATTATAAGGAGAGGGAAAAAATATTATAATTATCCCTTTATAAATTTAATTTTTAGTATAGATTAAGATTTTAATTGTATATTATCAGTCCATTTAGAGTTATTAGTGTCATTTCTTAGATAATAATGCAATAAAAAACAAAAAAAAAAGACATTTTAATATTAATATTAGTGACTCAGAGATGATTCAAAGCAAAAGAAAAATATCTAAGGGTGGGTGAGGTTTTTTTTCTATCTCTTTAAGAACAAGACATTAGTTAGGAAATGGACAAAAATTATATAAAAT